TCAGACACATCACTTAAGGAAGGAGCAGTGCATCCGACTTAGTAGCACAAGCTAGTTTGGTCCAACTCACACTAACCCACACTCACTCATGTATTTATCCAACCTATTTTTAAAACTACACAACTTCTTAGCGACTATGACGGTAGTCGGGAGTTTGTTCCACTCATCCACAACTCTATTACCAAACCACTGCTTTCCTATATCCTTCATGAATCTGATTTTTTCCAATTTAAAACCATTGCTGCGAGTCCTGTCTATGTTACATATTTTTAGCACGCTATTTACATCCCCTATATTTATTCCTGTTTTCCATTTATACACCTCGATCATATTCCCCCTAATTCTATGCCTTTCTAGAGAGTGCAGATTCAGGGCCCTCGGTCTGTCCTCATAGGGAAGATTTCTGATACATGGGATCAACTTTGTCATCCTCCTCTGTACGTTTTCCAGTGCATTTATATCCATTCTGTAATACGGTGACCAGAACTGTGCAGCATAATCTAAATGAGGCCTAACCAAAGATATATAGAGTTGAAGAACAACCTGAGGACTTCTATTATTTATACTTCTTGCTATGAAGCCAGGAATTCTGTTAACTTTATTGCAAACACTTATGCACTGTTGTCTTCGTTTCAGATTACTGCTAACCAGAACTCCTAAATCTTTTCCGCAATATGTAATATTAAGATCTACATTATTTAGTTTATATGTGGCATGGTTATTTAACTGTCCAACATTTAGAACTTTGCATTTGTCAATATTAAACTGCATCTGCCACTTCTCCGACCATTGCATCAGTCTATTCAAATCATCCAGGAATGCTCTAGTGTCCTCATTAGAATGAATTGGACGGCCTATTTTGGTGTCATCAGCTAATTTGCTTATGTCGCTATTTATTCCCTCATCTATGTCGTTTATGTAGATTGTGAACAATTATGGGGCCCAACACTGACCCCTGTGGAACACCGCTCGTGACGTGCTCCCATTCTGATTTCTCCCCATTTATGCAAACTCTCTGCTGCCTGTTCGTCAACCATGCTTCTACCCAGGAAAAAATTCCTCCTCCTATTCCGTATACCTTAAGTTACCTTCTCTTCCTTTCTAAAATTTCAAATCTTGGATGAGAACATTCGCTCACTCTTACTTGACCATCTCAGTTGCACTCACGCTACTGTTGTGTATGTGATAAAAGGCTGGAACACCGACAAGTTGAAGACTGAGACACTGATGCAAGATATGGGAATCTTTATTAAGGAAACGTTTCGCCACACAGTGGCTTCAGACTGATGAAGTATGATCAGGGTAACTTCCAAAATCCTCGGTTGCGAAACTCCAGACAATAAAAAATGGTGTCGATAAATTCAGCTTCAGCACAGAGTGAAACTGAAATATTTAGGTGATTATCTGAGCAATGTATGTGTATAATAGTGTGAAAATTTTATTCTCGTTCAATAACGTAAAATAATTCTCAGTTAACTCTTCTGAACGGTTTCAGTATTTAACTCCCGATGACTCTCATGACCAGGAAACTACATATTTAACATTCGTTTGCTTCTGAGTGCTGGTATACTTGTGGATAATGTAAAACAGTAAAAATTTTTTTAGTTGAAATCCGTGTCATAATTGGAGAATGACTTATCTGATCGGCTTCAAATTTTTATCACTGTTATGGTTTTCGGAACACAAAAAACTCGCTGTTATTAAACAGCGTAAATCCCAATTTTCAGATTTCACTGAATTAAGTGACATTCATTTTTTATTCAGTAACTAAATAATGTTTTTTCCCTATTTGGCTTCAGAATATTATTCATTTTATTAGAAGGATGATAATCCATTAGTTCAGTCCGACAAAGTGTAAATTGGGAATTTTACCGAAATAAAAAACGTGGAATCGTTGGATCCAGAGGTTAGGTTAGCTAATGTTTGTCAGGAAACAGTACAAGTGTTTCCTGCCTCGGATCTTAGATGATGACCCGCCGTTGAAGCTTTCGATCATCTGAACCAGGCCTTCCACTGGCTTACTGGTCCACCCCTTACAAAATTATGGCCAGTTATAACCATTTTTTATCTATCAGTGTGTTTCGGATCCAGATTAATTACAAGAGAATGTCTTACTTGGTCGGTCTTAAAGTAATACTGTTGGAAGGATTTATTAAAACAAATTTCTACCCACTTTGTGCTGTGTAAAATTCAATTTGTAATTTCTTGTATTAATTTTGGGCTGTGTGGATGTTATCTGCATGTTTTTTTGCCCATATAATCAAACTGGATTTTTAAAAACAAATTGAAGTCAAATATTTTTACAGGATTGTATTTTAAATAGAATACAAAGGAGGAAGGAAAGCGGGAAATAATAGAAAATCCCCGGTTTTAAAGTGCTTTAAATTTTAAGAAAGGGACTTTTTCATATTTTTCTGAACATTCCCAGCAACATTTTTCTTTGCTTTATCAGAAATTTTCGTTTATTTCTCAGGAATGACTTCTTCTTCCGGCTTCAAATTTTCAGTGCTAGTGTCATGTGGATTTTTATTCATGAGATTATTTGCATGTATGAGTGCACTATGCACAGTGCCATGTAGGTCATTCCCAAAGTTTGCGTCCGTGTGGTAGCTGGACACAAGCTCCTCTGATCGGCTTCGGAATTTCAACACTTTTGTATCTTAGGTGCCATTTCGTCACTTAATCTCAAAATGGCATTGTGTTATTTTACATTATTGCATTATATTGCCTTGTTGCTGGTGAGGAGCTCTGTATGCAAGCTAATACCGAATGTGAATTCCTCTCATTAATTAGGTGCTGTGACCCTGCCGTTCATAAATGTTATATTTTAACCTGTGGCCCTACGGGTCACAGGTTAAAATATAACATTTATGAACGGCATCAGTCTTCAGTCGCTGATGCATCGTAGGAAATGAATGGAAGGTTTCATGAGTTTAGGCTGTGAGGCACAAATATTGTTAGAGTCTGTGCAGAAAACTGGAAATTGCATCTGATCAGCTGTAAATTTTTAGTGGAGAATTTATAATGTGATAATCATATTAATAAAAATAGTTTCTATGAAAAAAAGGAAAATTTCTCTTCTGAATACAATTAAACCGCAGTGTTTGACTTTATTTGGTTATGCTATTAACTTAATGTTCTATATGCTGTTATGTAAATACAACATCAATGTGCTCTTAAGACCATTATTAAAAAAGTTAAGTACACTAAGGTTACATAGAACTTTTATAATATTTTTAAAAATATTTTTCTGTTTGGTCACTTTGAAAGGATTAAATTATATGTGGGCTGTGTATGTCCTAATTTACCGTTTATACTGAATAAATCTGGATTTTAGTTTCCATGTGATAACTTGTGAATGCCTTTGCTAACTCCCTTCAAATCTTCAACACCAATATTCACTTCCATTATTAACTTATGCTACATTCTGTACTTTTCCATTCGCGTGCACCGTGTCGCGTGCACCGTGTCGCGTGCACCGTGTCGCGTGCACAGTGTCACGTGCACCGTGTCGCGTGCACCGTGTCGCGTGCACCGTGTCACGTGCACAGTGTCATCCTTTGCAGACGATGCTAGGATCTGCATGAGAGTGTCATCTATTGAGGACACGGAAAACAATATGATGTTCAATGAAGACAAATTCCAACTACTCCGTTATGGAAAACTGGAGGAGATAATAACTAGAATTGAGTATACTACAAACTCTGATCATACAATAGAGCGGAAAAAATAATGTGAGGGACCTAGGAGTAGTAATGTCCGAAGATATCACTTTTAAGGATCACAACAGTGCCACGATCACAACTGCAAAGTGACAGGATGGATAATGAAAATTTTCGAAACAAGAGATGCCAAGTCAATGATCCTTTTCAAATCACTTGTTTTGTGTAGGCTGGTATATTGCTGCACATCAACATCTCCGTTCAAAGCAGGTGAAATTGCAGATCTAGAAAGTGTACAGAGGACCTTTACTGCACATATAAGCTTTGTCAAACACCTCAACTACAGGGAACGCTTGGAAGCACTTGACTTGTACTCCCTGGAACGCAGGCGAGAGATATATCATAATCTACACATGGAAAATCCTAGAAAGAATGGTCCCGAATCTGCACACAGAAATCACTCCCTATTAAAGTAAAAGACAGGGTGGGGGGTACAAAATACCCCCAATGAAAAGTAGGGGCGCCACTGGTACATTAAGAGAAAACACCATAAGTGTCCGGGGCCCAATACTGTTCAACATCCATGCATAAGGAGAATTACAAATAGGCCCCTGGCTGCCTTCAAGAGGGAACTGGACAGATACTTAAAGTCGGTGCCTGATCAGCTGGACTGTGGTTCGTACGTTGGACTACGTGTAGCCAGCCTGGCTGATCAGGCCCTGATCCACCGGGAGGCCTGGTCGTGGGCCGGGCCGCGGGGGCGTTGATCCCCGGAATACCCTCCAGGTAGACCTCATGTAGACTGGGATTGTTGAATTCGGGGATACCTCTTTTGATTCACGCCGCTATCGAAACACATTTAGTTATTATTACTATTGTTATTATTATTATTATTATTATTATTATTATTATTATTATTATTATTATTATTATATTATTATTAATTATTATTATTTATTATTGTTATTTATTATTATTATTATTATTATTATTATTATTATTATTATTATTATTATTATTATTATAAGTGCTAAGCCTGCTTGTTCAATTTACGAAATGTAGACGCTGAGTCCTCCGTCCACTGTGCATAAGTCCAGGGTGCAGTTGTGTAAAACTTTCCTTCAGACATCAAAATTCAGAACACAGCCTTGTCCTAAAACTTACGACTGCCGAAGACTTGGTCAAGGCCATCGAGTCCCCTCATGGAGCCTCACTACAGATGTTCCAGCAGTCAGGAAGTAGCACAATACTGAGGGAAGGGGTGTGGCTGTAGTGTGGCGAGGTGAGGTGGCGAGTCTGCAAGGTTTGATTCACTGCCAGTCGCTGGTACGTCTCTGTACCGTGTAGTGACTCTCCTCTCAGTCCCAGCTAGAACCCGCTGGTTCGTCTCGTACCGTCCTGGTCTGAACCCGGCCACCGGAGAGAGAAAAAACTCTGTTGTAATACACTTAGCTGCTTTTCGTGCTATTATGATACAAACTTGGTTGTGTCGTAGTGGGAGATGAATTTACTAACATTAAAATATATATTACTCAAATCTGGCTAGTATCATACTGTTCTAAACTGATTCAAGAAATTTCTAGTATAGTGTTCGCTACTCATATTCATCATTTTTAATCTTAGTCATTATATTTGGCTTAATTTAAAGTGTTCAGTGTGTGTTGCTGTAGCAAGTTAAAGGGCAAACGAAACCTGCTAAGAAACTGGGTAAGTAACTATTATTAATAAATTATTGGGTTAGACTACAGAATTATTAAGTGCATTATTCCACTGATTCAGTTAAGTGAGTAATTTTGTGATTACAAATTGTGGTTAATACCGGTAGTTCTTTGAGGCATATATTATGCATTAAGATATTTCGCCACAATGGGTTTTATCAAACAATATTATCGTTTTAAATAAATACCTCATATGCATCTTTCTCACAAACAAGTAATTATATGCAGTTATAGAGAAACTGGTGAGTTCAGGCAGAATTCAGCAAAAATGAGATGTATGTGTAATTAGCATGTATGTGTTTGTATGTATAATTAGTGTGTATATGTTTGTATGTGTGATTAGCATGTATATGTTTGTATGTATAATTAGTGTGTATATGTTTGTATGTATAATTAGTGTGTATATTTGTTTGTATTTTTATATTTAATGTAGTGTGTATATGTTTGAATGTATAATTAGTGTGTCAGTTTGGGGGGGGAAATATAGGGGGTAAGTTTGTATTTGGTGGATTAGCATGTAAAAAGTTGAGGTAATAAAATTAGGGGAAGGTTTGATTGTTTAATTGTGTGAACGTTTGTCCTTAATAAGGTGTATAATATTTTCCAGTTTATATTTAAGGTGGTATAATTTTTGGGAGGAAAGGTGGATAATGTTGTTGAAATTGTGTGTGAATATTTGAGAATTGGTGAAAGTTTGATTGGGGATTGCATTCCCATTTTTGTATGGGGTGAGGAATGGTTTGTATGTTAATTAGGGAATGGGGATGAATAATTAAGTGTGTATAGTTTGTAGTACCCAAGGGTTAGGGGGTTTGGTAAATTTTGTGTGTTATGTTTGTATTAGAATTTGGTGAGCTGTTTGATGATAATAGTGGTTTTTTGTATGTTTTAGTGGGGAAAAGTTTTATGAATAATTAGGGAAGTTTGTTGGGAATTGGGGTAAGTTTGATTGTGGGGGTTTGAATGTTATGTTTGTATGTAAATTTAAAAGTGGGAAAATTTTTTGGTAAGTTTTTTTTGGTGACCCGTTTGTTAATTGTATAAAATTTAAATGTTTGTATGTATAATTAGTGGTGTATATGTTTGTATTTTATAATTAGTGTGTATATGTTTGTATGTTAATTTAAAGAGTGTATATGTTTGTATGTAAAATTAGTGTGAAATATGTTTGTATGTTGATTGGGTTGTACAGTTTGTATGTTTTTAGTGTTATATGTTTGTATGTATAATTAGTGTGTATATGTTTGTTTTGTATAATTAGTGTGTATATGTTTGTATTGTATAATTAGTGTTTTATATGTTTGTATGTATAATTAGTGTGTATATGTTTGTATGTATAATTAGTGTGTATATGTTTGTATGTGTGATTAGCATGTATATGTTTGTATGTATAATTAGTGTGTATATGTTTGTATGTATAATTAGTGTGTATATGTTTGTATGTATAATTAGTGTGTATATGTTTGTATGTATAATTAGTGTGTATATGTTTGTATGTATAATTAGTGTGTTTTATGTTTGTATTGTGATTACCCTGTATATGTTTGTATGTATAATTAGTGGGGTATATGTTTGTAAGTATAATTAGTGTGTATATGTTTGTATGTATAATTAGTGTGTATATTTTTTGTATGTATAATTAGTGTGTATATGTTTGTAAGTATAATTAGTGTGTATATGTTTGTATGTATTAATTAGTGTGTTAATGTTTGTATGTATAATTAGTGTGTATATGTTTGTATGTATAATTAGTGTGTATATGTTTGTATGTATAATTAGTGTGTATATGTTTGTATGTATAATTAGTGTGTATATGTTTGTATGTATAATTAGTGTGTATATGTTTGTATGTATAATTGTGTGTATATGTTTGTATGTTAATTAGTGTGTATATGTTTGTATGTATAATTATTTGTGTATATGTTTGTATGTATAATTAGTGTGTGTATGTTTGTATGTGTGATTAGCATGTATTTGTTTGTATGTATAATTAGTGTGTATATGTTTTATGTAAAATTAGGTGTATATGTTTGTATGTAAATTAGTGTGTATATGTTTGTATGTATAATTAGTGTGTATATGTTTGTAAGTATAATTGTGTGTATATGTTTGTAGGGATAATTAGTGTGAAATATGTTTGTATGTATAATTAGTGTGTATATGTTTGTATGTATAATTAGTGTGAAAATTTTTTGTAGTTTTAATTAGTTTTGTATATGCTTGTATGTATAATTAGTGTGTATATGTTTGTATGTATAATTAGTGGTATATGTTTGTATGTATAATTAGTGTGTATATGTTTGTATGTATAATTAGTGTGTATATGTTTGTATGTATAATTAGTGTGTATATGTTTGTATGTATAATTAGTGTGTATATGTTTGCGTTTACCAAGTTGACTTTGAAGGTTCACACGTCCATGTCTAGAATATAACTGAGTTAAAAAACAGACCAGTTACCAAACACTACAATTAGGGAATGTTTTGGTCCTGGACCTTGAGAACTTCTCGGAAATGATCAAGGTCCCAGGACCGATGCGTTTTATAACGTATCTTAGTGATTGATCTAGTGTCATTTAAACCCTATGTCGGTATTTATTACCAAGGTTTATACCGTAAGACCATAAGAACATAAGAAAGAAGGAACACTGCAACAGGCCTACAGGCCCATGCGAGGCAGGTCCAATCTCCCACTGACTTAAGCCAACGCCCTAACCTAGTCTGGTGCCTACTAATTCGACCATGGTGGAGAATAAAATTTAGGTATGCAATTTCAAATGGCGGTAAATATAATCCAGTTTACCTCTTACGAACGATTTCATGATTAAATGGCTGACGAATCTTACTGAAGGAACTCATGAAGTTTTGTTTGTGTCACTTTGTCAGGATATTAAAGCAGTTATAAGAAATGGAGTCTGTGAAGTTCATGTTATAACTGGACGGCTTCAAATTTATATCACTGCCTTGGTTTATTGACGTAAAGTTTGCGTTATGATGTTACAGGGTGACGTAAGTCCCAATTTGCTAATTTTATCAAATAGTTTTTGTCATTAATATTTAATAATAAAAAATACTTCTTCTGATCTAAATAAATTATGATGCCTTCTATAAGTTTAGTCTGTGTAGTTGCAAAGCCAAATTTTGCTGAAATTTCTAGAAAATCAGATAAAGTAATGAAAATGTCTTTTATGGTTGGCTTTAAATTTTCACCGTTGGTGAGCTTTATGAAAACTTTGTTTGGCGTTCACTTTAAACTGTGCAAATTTAAATTTCCCAATTTTATTAAATAAATAGTTTCCCATGTAAGTTTGGTTAGTGAGGTTTAAAGCCTATCGACTGCACGAGGGTCGTTAAAGCTGCAAGTTAACCTGTTAACCACAAAACAAGAATACCTTAATCTCTAATATAGGGATTAAAGGCAACTCCCAGCATATATACCAGGGAAAATATAAACACAAATGCAGTATAATGTGATCCTTTATTGACAACGTTTCACCCACCCAGTGGGCTTTTTCAAGACACACACGGATCTACCTGGGGTTGGAAGGTACGAGGGTATTTATAGGCATGTTCAGAATGTTGAGGTCAGGTGGAGAATGCTGCATCTGATGATCTACCGGGTGGGGTTATAGAGTCTTGGGTAGCTTGGCAGGGGTATTGGACAAGTTGTGAGTAGACCTTCTGCAGTGTTCTATGTTCTTATGTGGGATAGCGATGAAGAAGTTTCTTGGCGAGTGGTTCAGCTATGTTATAGAAGCCATTGTTCTGGTTGAAATTGTTGGTTGTAGAGATGAGCGATGATTCCAGGATTCTTCTGTATTGAGTGTTGTCTTCTGTGGCAATTTGCCAAACATGTTTCCAACATCTTTGCGAAAACATCATTCCAAGTATCTACCTCCACAACCACGACCATCAAGGACATCACCAGTAGTAGACAGGACAAGCCTCCATCCTCTGCAGGGGTATACATAATCCCTTGTAATGACTGCAACAAATTATATGTGGGCGAAACATCAAGAGACCTCCAAACACGTATTTCAGAACACCAATATGCAAGCAGGACTGACGATACAAGGAATGCCTGTGTACAACATCGCAATTCACACAACCATTTAATTAACTACAGAAACTCAAGACTTATAGCCACAGAAGACAACACTCAATACAGAAGAATCCTGGAATCATCGCTCATCTCTACAACCAACAATTTCAACCAGAACAATGGCTTCTATAACATAGCTGAACCACTCGCCAAGAAACTTCTTCATCGCTATCCCACATAAGAACATAGAACACTGCAGAAGGTCTACTCACAACTTGTCCGATACCCCTGCCAAGCTACCCAAGACTCTATAACCCCACCCGGTAGATCATCAGATGCAGCATTCTCCACCTGACCTCAACATTCTGAACATGCCTATAAATACCCTCGTACCTTCCAACCCCAGGTAGATCCGTGTGTGACTTGAAAAAGCCCACTGTGTGGGTGAAACGTTGTCAATAAAGGATCACATTATACTGCATTTGTGTTTATATTTCCATTGTGTCGGTATTTTATACCATTTATTTCCATATATACCAGGGGTCGGCAACCCCCGGCCCGCGGGCCACATCTGGCCCGCGTGAGGTTTTCGTACGGCCCGCCAATTTAACATCAGGACACTAATCATCTAATTAGTATGGAATACAGATGCAGTCGTTCACTACAAGGTTAAGCAGTCCCTGGGAAAGTTACTTCGTATCCTCCCTCAGAGTTTTTCATTTGAGTTTGTTGTCTGGTGGTAAATAACTGTGCAGTAGGTATCTGCATTCTATAATGTTTATTTCATTTGTGATATATTGTGTTACGTATTAGAATTAGGCCAAAACTGATTTTAAAAAACTAATGGCAACCTTGAGTTCGAGAAGAAAAACTTTAATATTACATTTAATAACATGGTCCTTCTTCAAGAGACTACACAGCTAAGATAAGATAAGATTTCGTTCGGAT